CTATGCGTCTTTCTGGAGTGGCATCGGACTCAATCTGGAGGCGCTGTTGAGTGTGAGGTACATCACGCAGCTGGGTTGGGGACGATGGATTGGAGGATGGAAACAACTGCATCCCTCCCACTGAGTAAGTGGTTGTCATGTGTGATTTTAGTTTGTGGTGGACTCGCAATGCTGAATGCTTGATACATGAGTATCAACCGCCAAAGGCATTCTCTCGTCGTTATCAACTAAGTCGTCATCCAGGATCACATCATCGCTTTCTGTTGGTTGTGAAATACAAGGTGCCATATTTTATTATCATCAATTGGAATCTGAAGATACTCATGAGGCTTATCCGTATTTTCCACATGACCGTGCTGGATACTCCGCGTTCATCTAGAGCAACTGAACGGCTTGTTTTTCCAGTAGCGAGATCTAACACACGGTAACTTTTGGTATGTTCCATGTACCCAAACCACATGCAGCAAAATAATGTCGCGTCGAGTTTGTTCGTTGAGATTTGTCAATATGTGCGTACCTCCGGGAACCAAAGACACGATCATGATCGAGGTCTGGACGAGAGCCAAAACAAATCTCTTATGGTGTTATATCAGTGTTCACGGTGCTAGACATCCGATTTGACAGGTACACACCAGTATTGACTGCATCAGCCCAACATCGAGTTTCAAAAGCCTTGAACATCATCGTGCTTCTTGCCATCTCCATCACGGTTCGGTTTGTCCGTTCTGCAAGCCCATTTTGTTGAGGGCTACATGGTGCAGAGCGTTGGTGGATGATCCCACCATCAACACTAATCTTGCTTAACTTCTTGTTGTAGAATTCGGTCCTATTGTCTGACCGAACAATTTTGATTCGAGCACCTAGTTGCACTTCCATCTTCGCTTTGTAGTCACGAAAACGATTTGTTACTTCCGTCTTACTCTTCAGGAAGTGTGCACATATGTAGCGCGAATAGTCATCTGTGAAGAGCAGTACATACTTTGCTCCACCGGTAGACGTTACTTTCATGGGTCTCATGAGATCTGTGTGAACCAGTTGTAGAACTCGTGTGGTACCACGGTTTGTTTGCTTTGGGAATTGCATGACAGTTTTCGTTCCAAGCATGCATCCACCACATAGGTCTTGGCAACGGCCACGCTGGAGCCCCCCAGGGATACCATCACTCGCGTCAACTACACGTTTCGTATTTTCATGATGCGTGTGTCCTAATCTCGCATGCCATAACTTCCAATCGCGGGGTCTTTCTTGATGGTCAATCACACTCAAAGTCTGTGCTTGATTCTTCACACGATACACATTAATTGCTTGTGGTACGGTCGCTATCGATTCTTTTCCACGAAAGATAGTACACTCTTTCGTACCAAAACTCGCCGTAAGACCCTTCAGGGTAAGTATTGCAGCTGAGAGTAGCCGACGATCTAATCCAGGAATGTGGAGAGCGTCTACTATCTTCACTATGCGACTTTGAAGGCACTGCATGTGAATATCATCCATACCAACCGTATGGAGTGATTCACCATCAGCAATCGTAATACCAATGCTCTCTTTCAACTCTCTGTAAGTATGAAAATCCTTTCTCTCAGGGCTCATGTGTGACGATGCGCCACTAGCAAGAAACCAATCTGATTTCTCATCCATATATGCCATAAACAGTACCTCACTACTACGTGCACTTGATGGAAGGTGCACCTTCTTATGACCAATCTTGATGCAGCCATGGCAACGCACGATAAAACCTCGGGCTGATAGTAGTTGGCCACGGTTACCTCGTCTCAGGTCTTGTAAAAATGCTGATCTTGGCGACCACGACAAGCTTGTCTATTCTTTCGGCCACCATGACCACAAAATAGCACCTTGAATGCGCTTTATTCCAATTTTTCTGCATATTCGATCTATTCGTGCTCTTTAACGAGCTTTTCCTTTTACTTGTCAAGTGAAATTTTATTAGAGTTCTCAATGATAAAAACTATCGTCGCATAACTGTTTGGCAGACTACCGAGCGAGATCAAAAGCTGCCTATCAGTGCTCATACCATCCCCGACACCCTCCATCGCAACTACCAGTTCGTTGAAATTATCGAGATGAGGAGCCATGCTTGCTCCATTTCCACAGTGAACTCATGTAAACGACTTGTCAAAGTCACTCGATTGTGAATATTTGAACGATTGAAATATTCGCTAATAATCTCCA